GCTGATCTGGGCTCCCCAGTGCCCGCAGCAGCTGCAGCCCCCCTCCCACAGCATCCACTGGCAACCCCAGGGAGGGTAGCCCAGGACGTGCAGCTCAGCCTGTTAGTGGTTCAAAGCTCAGGCACTGGCACCCCTTTGCTTGGGGTTGAGGCAGACAGAAGGGGCAGGGGTTTGCCTCAGCACCGTGTCACGGTAACAGCCAGTTGTTAAGGGCCAGAGTTGCCTCAGGGTGCCATCGCTGCACTGCGCCCGCAGCAGGCCCAGAACTGCAAGGGAACAGAGATGTTTGTCTGCCTGGCTTTTTGCAGCTTCTCCGGCCCAGCTCCCCCTTTGAGCTTGACCTCTGTTGCAAAATCAAGTGCAAACGCCTTGAAAGTTGGATCCCCAGATGCGCCATTTGAGCCTCTTGCCAAACGAGACACACAGTGGGAACAAGGCCATCGAGGCAGAGGTGAATTTGGAGGGCGTCGCATACTCAAGTTACTTACGCCCCATCTGCATTGCTCAGAAGCTGAACCACGGCCCGCTCCCTTCTCCAAGTCAGAGCTGCTCCAGCAAAATAAATGAGATGTCCTGGTCCCCTGGGATATTTCCACCAGTGAAGGGTGGTATTAGGTCAACATAGGAAGCCCTATGGCCCTCTTTGCTCACTGGAGATGTGATAGGGAAGCTCAGCGTTCAACAATATTACTAGACTACAACGTGTGCTGCGTTGTTCAGTAATCTCTGACTGGCTGACAGCAGTCTGCAGCTCCCAGTGTGCCAATGCTCACTGATCAGTACCATATAACAAGCCTCTGCATAAAACAACCAATACAGTTCCCTACATCTGTACCCAGCTAAACAACACTAATAACATAACAATCAACAAACAGAACTACAAATATAAATAGTTTACCAACTAATTTTTTTTTTTTTTTTTTTTTTTTAGTCTTCTAACTCCCCAAGGCTATTTCTGCTATCAGGTGATGGTTAGCACTTTACTTAAGGATTACCAAAATTTCCAGCATTGCTGATGTGGGCTCTTTTACTTTGCCTGGCTAGCATTTCTGGCATATGCAAAATAATCAGCATCACTATCTGATACCCATGTCAAAAATAGCTGAACCTTGTCTTAAAATTTTCAGTAGCTGAACAATATTTATGCATCTTTTTAAACACTGTATTCTTAATATTTTAGGGATTACTTCCCTAATACTTTTTAAACACAATCTTATGTTGAGAGCCTTAAACTGATAAAAAAGAGGCTGAGAATATGCTGTCCTGCCATTCTGTGCTAATAGCCTTCATTACATTCTGCAGGGTTTTGTTCAGAGGAGTGTTTCTGGCAACAGTAATTCACACTTTTTGAGAGGCTGGACAGGATTTTTTTTCCCCTTTTTTTAAAAGTAGACTGACAGTTACATAATCTAACTCTGGACTTTGCTTCAGTGTATTTTTGTCAAATGCTCTAAAGCGTGGCTGTTACCATCAAATTTCTCACAACTTTATATTTCCAAATCATAGCTGTGTAGCTGAAAAAGGACTTCTGTATTCTGCTAGGGGAGCGTTCACTCTTTGATAGTGGCATAAGTAGTCAGTTTCAATTTACTGTTGCCTCTATAAATAAAGACGACATTTTGGATTAAGCAAAACACTTCTTTATTTGAGTATATTGGCATTCTTTTTTTTTTTTCTTTCAGTGCCCATTTACCATTCACTGCCTGTCTTTTCTGTCATTGTTAATATCATGGTTTCTGGCACCAGGCCAACTCTTAAATTTAAGAGCTGGTGTCTAACTTAAAATTAATAAATGTTTAATTTGCTTTCAGACTGATAACCCACTCCTCTGCAAAAATCCACTGCAATTCTTGTATCTTTTCGCAAATACTGGACACTGTCTTAGTTGGTATTGTTCATTCCTCTCCCAGGGATCACAGCCTTGACATGGTGCAGAGGCTTGTGTGCTACCAGTGACTGCCAATAATGCTGACTGGAGTTTTATACTCCTGGTAGTCATCCATGGTGGCAAGGTTGAGAGCAAGGCTTCCAGACTAATAACAATCCAAAAGTAACAGTCCTCAACAGTGGCACAAGAGGATGAAGAAAGACTACTTCACAATGGCTGCAAAGGCAGATGAAGGCTGCAGTGGAATAGGAACCTCTATTCATCTAGGTTTTCCTTGCCACTGGATTAAGGTTTCCTTCCTGTGAGGAAACGTGTGATTGCTGATGCACAATAGCATCTCTACATTAGAAGAAAATATGTGCAGGCATCTTCCTTTACTAGCATGTCCAACAGCAATGGATGAGTGACAACAAGTAGTAGTATCTCTAGTCATGGACCTAAGTAGAGGCAATAATTGTATGGTGGTCATTTTGTACTTGGAATTGAGACAGGTGCACAATGCAACAGCTGCAGTCATGACTGAGCAGGTCTATTTAGGATCTCCTCTGCTTAACCATATGGGAGGAAGTTTAAAAAGGGTGCCCTAAACTGTTTAGCTCATTTCACCTGTCTGGAAAATTACATCCAGTAGAATTATTCTACTTGCAGCCCAAATCAAGTAATGAAGATTGTAACTTGGAATGTCTGCACCCTGAGGGACAATCTCAACAGTGACCAACTGGAGCGAAGGACAGCTCTCATGGACAGAAAACTTGCATGACTTGATATTGACATAGCTTCACTTCGTGAGACCAGACATGCAGGAGAGGGGTATCTTACAGAGTATGGAGGTGGCTACACCTTTTTTTGGACAGGAAAAGCCAAAAAAGATAGAAATATCCACAGCATTGGTTTTGCTATCAAAACCAAGTTTCTTATCAGACACCAAGACAACAGTGTGTCCAGCTGGCATTATTTAGTGTCTCATGACCCTTCATCTTCAACTGACCAGCAGACAACATGCAACAGTCATCATGACAAAACAAAGGAATTCTTTCCTAATTTAGCCAAGTCATGTCATCTGTCCCCGACGAAGATAATTGTTCTTGGCAATTTTAACACTAGAGTGGGAAGAGACTCTGGAACATTCGGAAAGGAAGAGGTGAGGGAAGTCAACTGGAATTGATTTTTTCTCCTGAGGAAGTGCTCAGAACATGATCTAGACTATATGACCTTATGAGGTCCCTTCCATTCCTACTTTCCTCTGATCCTAAAATCATTGCCATATTCAAGAAAGGGAACAGAACAGATTGCAGCAGTTATTTTGGTAGTGCACTCCTGTCCATAACTGGGAAGATCCTTGCAAGCATTCTCCTCAGTAGAGTCACTTTCCTTACTGATGAGATTCTACCAAAGTCCTAATGTGGTTAAAACCAGACATACAATAGATGTGACTTTTGATGCTAGACAGCTGCAGAAAAAGTGCTGCGACCAACACCAAGATCTTTCCATAGCCTTCTTTGACCTCGCTAAGGCCTTTGATTCAATCAAGAGAAGATCCTAATGAAATTTGAATGCCCATTAAAATGTTACCATCATCAGACTATTTCATGACAACAACCGTCATAAGCAATGTTTCAGAAACAGTCCCCTTCATTATTAGAACTGGAGGCAAGCAAAGATGTATGATTGTACCAACACACTTTTCCATCTGTATCACAGCTATTCTATATCTCCTTGCTGATAAACTTCTATCTGGAAACACCATCCAGAATCACATGCAAAGGAATCCCTTTAACATCAACCAGTTACTCTCCAAATCCAAGATAACCAGCACCTTCATTACTCATCTTCAATATGCTACCAATTGTGTTGTGTGTGCCCAATCAATCACTAGGTCACTCTTATTGCTTCTGTGAAGTATATGAAATGCCTAGGCTCTCTGTCAACTTCATGACAACCAAGATGCATTACCAACCCATGACAGTTGCTCCTCCACATATTAGAATTAGAGGACAATCTTTGGAGAATTTTGAGCATTTCCCCCCCCTGGGTAGCCACCTTTCTCAAAAAGTAAACATAGATGATGATATTCAACACTGAATAAAATCTGCCAGTGCTGCCTTGGACATCTTCAAAATCACAGCTTCAGTGTTCACGACCTCAGGATCCAAACCAAACTTCTTTGCTGGGCTGTTGTCATTCCTACTCTGCTGTGCAGTTGCAAAACTTGGACCACATATCAGAAACACCTGAAAGCTTTGGAACATTACCATCAGTGATGTCTTCAGAAAATCCTTCATATAAATTGGAAGGACGGAAGAACAAACAGCAGCATTCTGGCTCAGACAAACACCATCAGCAATGAAACCATGTTTATACAGCACCAGTTGGACGGGACATGTCATAAAGGTGCCTCCCAGAATAGGTCCTGTATTCCCAACCCACCAATGGTCACTGCTGTATGGTTGGGGGGTGGGAGAGTGGGGTTGGTGGAGGGGGGACGAGATGGGCAAAATCAAAGATTCAGAAACACCTTGAAGGCCAATCTGAAGAAATTTGATATTAGCATCAGTACTTGGGAGACTTGACCACTAACTCACCCCCAATAGCAGCCTGATGTACAAAAAGGTATCAGTCACTTTGAGCATTCTTGCCTCACTACAGAAGTGAATAGACAAGGTA